CACACACACACACACACACACACACACACACACACACACACACACAATTACATCCACATAAATGATAATTATGTGGTGGGCTCAGGCTCTGCGGTCCTCTAAAGAGGATGCATAACAAAATAGTTTCCATCTTCTTCTTCATAATATTGCACTGTAATTGTTGTTCTGTTTTGTTTCTCGTTCTGTTTGTCCTGCCAAAAGTGATGTATATGATAGAGTGTGTATGTATTAAGAAGCTCAGATTAAGAATCTTTTAAAGTGATTAAAATTACATTTTTAGGATTCTTTGATGCATTGCAAAAATGTGGCTTTAGATCCAACGTTCTATCAGTAGAAAAGGTAAGACTATCATCGTAACATGGGGCGGATTGGCACTGGTTTGAGGTAAGGCAGACAATAAGACAGTTTTAGGGTCAACTCAGTCCACTTTCCCAAATATTACTGGCTTCCTTTATCACAAGATAAGTAATCGAGACTTCAACTTCAGGGACATTTCAATATCAAAACGTGAGCCGACGCGAAAAGAACAGTGTGTCAGTTATTATATGGGTCGCTTTCAATAAATTGGTAAAAAAAGAGGTAAACACTGAGCGCCAAAGAAGACGGGGCATATTGATGCAAATTATGAAAAAGGCTTTCCAGTGAAATGGGATCTCTTGGGAATCTTAAACAACTCACACAAACATCATGCAGCTCATTCGGTGTGTTTTTCTTTCAACGTGAGAGATAAAAAGATGGATTCAAAGGATCACTGTGAATGTTACTGTGTGCTAAGGATGAAGCATAAAAGGGAGCACGGAGGTTTGCTAGATAAGTGTTCGAAACAAATAGGCTTAAGAGAAACTGCAAGTCAATCCAAATGACGCATCTCTTTAGACTTATTAGCCTGAGCTGTGTGAGGTGCTGCCAGTCGAAATATACTTTACCCTCCTTGGTGGCTAAGGCACTGCGGACCCCGTGCCAGAGCCGTGAGATCTCCTCATCCGTGGGAGTGCAGTCTAAACAGAGGCCTTTGTCATTGCACACCATCCCTCTTCTTCTGCCGCTGCAGCCCTGAGTTCCCTGATGGCCTGAGCTGGGCGTGCCCTTCGTGTTGCCCTTTGAGGCGGAGTGGGCGCACGGGGGTGGCATTGGTGTGTACATAACAGTGCTATCTGTTCTCACTACGTCACGCGTGTGAGGTGAGAAAAAGCCGCCCGAGTCGTCCTTGTGCGGGGCCTGCTCAGCCAGAGCTTGTTTACAGTTGACACTGGCACGATCCACGCCATATGGAGCCTTAGCCACGCTCGCCGTCTTTTCCCATTCCATCCTCGGGGGTGGGCGGGGCAGCATGATCCTCCCTTGGGTTTTGGCAATCTGACTCACCTCGGTGGCAGATTGAGGTCGAATGACAGTGCCCTTTCTAGTCCGCAAGGAAACAGGACCCCCTCCAGCTCGGCCGGAGCGCTCTCTCCGGGGGACCCTGGGGCCACCGGACCTGGTGCTGCTCCGCGGCACCTTGACCTCGTCTGCACGTTCTTGGGGCAAGCTGACTTGAACCCCAACATCTGCCCACGCTTGCTTTGTAAAGTGATAACTGGCGGAGGCTGGAGGGGTCATGCCGGGTCCGGGCTTGGAGGCCCCCGAGACTGTAGTGAGACTTAGCTGGTGGTCCTCGGAGTTGTTATTTGAGTGAGAGAGATTGGAAGACTTGCCCTTCATCTGTTTCTTTGTGTTCTGCTCTTGGTCCTCTTTCTCCACATGTACCTCATCAAACCAGCGCAGCTTCTTTTTCGCGGCGTCGTTGCCCTCCACACCCTTAGTTTTGGTCCGCGTCAATTCGACACTATCTCTGATGGCTAAGGCTACTTGTTTTGCAAAAGTCAAATGTCCCGAGCCAAACACACGCGTGGTATCTCCTGACACATATCTGGACGGCTTTTTGAGGATTCCTTTAATGAACCGGACTTCACACACCGAATGAGAGGCCCTCACAGAAACAGGCACGTTTTGAGCTTCCTCCTCAGGACACTTCAGGCACTTAAGAGCGTCTGACTGAATGTTCGACAAGCATGCGCGCTGCAGCGATGCTGCATTCATGGTCTTTTCAGTTTCGGGCTCTGAGTTTGACACCTTATTGAGGTTGTTTATGGAAGCACTGGGCTCTTTCTGCGATAAAAGATTGTGGTTTTCTTTTCCCGTTTGCTGAAGACTTCCCTCTCGTGATGCATTATCCGTCGCGCTATCGTTCAAGAAAGTATTGGGCTTTGGGGGAGGCCCGAACAAAATGTCTTCGCTGTTGCCATTTTGAGCAGACAAAAGGATTTCTGTAGCTGACTGATGTTTAAATCGTCTGTCATCATGGACCCCGTTCTGCCTGAGTCCTAACAGAGCCTCCTGTTTAGGACATGAAGAGTCAAGTGCTGCGTTGCCGGGGGCCGCTCTGTTTGTAGCGATGACGTTGTCACGGGGACTGTTTTGTGAGTTTACCTCAAAGTGCTCCGGGCCTCTAACAGGTTCACAAAGAGTGAAAAAGTTGCAGTTGCGCGGAGTGGGCTGGGTTTGCGTTTTAGGTGCGAACCCCCATGAAGCTTTGGAAACGTGCATCTTATACCCTTCGGAGTCCGCTTGTTTCTTCTGATCAGCTTCATGCTGTTTTCTTGACTGGGCTGAGTCATCACCAAGAAGCATCATGGCTGAGAAAGAAGTTAGGTCTGACGTCGGACACAAATCACTTTGCTTTCTCGGGTCTGGATGGGGCTTCTCTGAGTCGAGCAGGAATGGCAAATATGAATACTGTAGATTTGTTGTGCTGTGGTCCTCGTTCTCTAAACTGTCCTTACTTGAAAGGCTTTCAGAATTGCAGCAATCGGACAGTTGGCTGTCCTGAAATATAAAAACAAGAGAGACGAGGTGATGAACAGAACATAATAATATGATTTACATCTTCCATGTACAGTTAATACAGGGGTGGAACACATATCTAAAATATAAGTTGAGGAGAGAGTGTAAAAGAGACATGAATGGATACTGGGTGGATATGAGATCCCATTTCACTTTCTTGGGTCATCTTAAATCAGAAAGGCCAGATGCCAGAATCAACAAAGCTGAGACAGTACAGCAGTGGGAACACGGCACGTAAACATTTCTGCTTTTGCTAGCATAACCAAACAGCACACAGTGAATGATGAACAAGGAAGTACAAATCTATAAACTGGACATATCTTTGAACAAGTGTTGGTGGGATTGTCTCCTCTTTGGAGTGGTACTGGATCAATACATTCAAACTAATTTGATATTGCAGGTATCAGTACTTTTTTTTCAAGCATATCAATTCAAGTCCCACTGAAAAAAAAAAATATGTGTTACAAAAAAACAACCCTTTTTACACAGCTGTTTACACATTTCAATAGAGGATGGGTGCTGAAGCCAGTGGCAGCCAAAACGGGTGTTTCCGGTGCAGGAAGGGGATTGCGTCACACTGCTGCCCCCTAGGGGTCTTCTTGTGTAAGGTCACATGCAAAAAAAAAAAAAAAAAAAAAGGCATTTGAATTGCCCAAGATGGAAGCCGAGTGAGTAGGCCTACTTCAACATCATTAATATCAAAGACGTCTTGATGAATTGTAGTCTGATTACAGCAAGAGACTCTT